AATTGATTACATGTACCTTTTATAAACAAAGATACACCCAAAGGCACATGTACATGTATTAAAGTTAACTGGCAAAGGAAGAATAATAAACAAGGAAGAACAATAAACAAGGTATGTCCATTATCACAAATAGCTACACAAATGATGTAATCGTATAAATTGATGCCTTAATTTTTAGTAATTTCCATAATGTAGTGGCTATTTTTACGGTCCCGTAATCTCATTGTATACAGCTATTTTTACAGCAGGGAATATAGAAATGAAGTGACGTATAAAGATGACAATCAGCATCAATAAGGCATCAGGATCGTGGTGGCACAGTGGGGAAGGCGCTGGGTTGGATACGGAAGGGCACTGGTTCGAATTCAGCTCAGACCATTCTTTTTTTATAATTTTGACTTTAACAAATTGATTTTTTTATCTTTCTACTTCGCTATGTTCCCTAATTATGTTAGGAGCCCTAGTTATGTTAGGAGTCCTCTACTTAGCTATTGTTTTTAGGGTTTAGGGGTTAGGGTGGCGGTTTTTTTAGAGTGTCCCCAGTCATTTTATGAGTCCCCTAGGTATGTTAGGAGTCCCCAAGGTTGGTTTAGCCTTAGCGTTTAGTTTTTTTTATTTTAGAGTGTTTCCCAGGTTTTAAAATGAGTAAATCCATAGATAAATCATCCTGCCGTAAAAATAGCCACCCACAGTCGGATTACGGGCCCGTAAAAATAGCCACTGCCTTTCCATAAAGCTTGGGCCGAGCTTAAGGCTGAGGCATCAAAAGTTATACTTACAGTTTCTGCTGCCACTTGATCAGCTGCCTTATCATACACAGGCTTGAGAGCAGCACTATATCGACACCAATCAGCATAGAAATTTATCAACATTAGCTTCTTGCCAGCTTCAGAGAATAGGTAGGGGATGTCAGTTTACAACCAATAGACACGTTACCTTTAAATTGCTCCATATTACTCCTACTAAGAAACTCTGCATCACCATTACAAGCAAGGAATTCTAAAAAAAGTATCTACAGACAAAATTTGTACATCATGTATATAAGAAACATACAAAGATCAAACCCAGAGAGTGGGAAACGACAGCCATTATGAAAATGGGTTGAACAAAAATCAAATTTAATTTTAACCCCTCATCAATCAATCGTGGGTGTAGGCTTTATAGACTAGTTCCATGAATTATAATGACCATGGTTAAATACGGTAATTTAAGTTATGTTAGGCTAATTCTGTTCTTCCTCCGGAATATTTCGGTTTTTCCATGAAATGGCCTGACCTCATAGCAGCTGCAATGTCATCTGATGAACAGGGAGAGAGAAAGTAAACAAATGTAATAATAATTATTATATATTACAATTATTATTATTATTACAATTATTATTATTATTATTATTCTACCATGCTTGTTTTGAATTGACCAATCAGATTGCATTATATGAGGTGTCTAAATCA